TCTTACTCATGGATACTATAAATTTGTGTCCAGACAATATCAGACCTGAGCTGGTAAGCGGACGCACATTGAGAGTGTGATACACAGAGCTGTTGTGAGGCTGAGCGTAAAAGGCGAGGCGCCAAACTATTTATAATCAATGGTTTGTCTGTATCACTATTATATATAGCATTAATGTGCAAGTAGGTTTTGTATAGTTTGGAGTCAATATAAAATTATAAGTTTATATGCCCTCTATAGAGGACCAAGTTGTGCCTAAGTATTACCAGTATATTATACAGCAAAGTAGGGATATGTTTTGTACTCATGATGACACATGTATCGCGAATGACGGAAATGCAAGAGAAAGCAATATAGTAGACTGATTCATGAGCACGATCTTCTAAGCTTTATTCTCACAGCTTTGTTTGTTGCCTTTAGGTCTAACGCTGTACAACCAAATCTTTGCATTTTGTTATGTATCTCATGAATCTTGATATTAATCCAAGCTACCATTCTCTCCTATGACTTTTATATGATCTACAGTCCTCAGTGTATCAACGACATAGACGCACTTGCCACTTCCATCTATACTCTCGAATTCTTGTTATGAATGGTGTTGATAGATTGTCATATTCAGCCTGAAGTGTCAATTGCCTTCTCCTGGTTAATCTTTTAACTTTGAGCACCCGCCCCTTTAAACCTCTCTGCACGGCCCTGCAGTACAGTGCAGTATTTCTACTCACTGGGGATCTTATGAGTCTTCTGTTTTATTTTTCGGCCCCTCTGAAGCTTTTTGTAGCAGACGTGCAACGATTGCAGTTATTAATTTAATGTGAAGACAGACTCCGTCTGGAGAGATAATAAATACAAGGTCACAAACTAGCTCAGAAACTTAGAAATCATAAGATAAAATAACCTTTATTAGTCCCACACGTGTGAAATTTGTTTTGTCACAGCAGGAAGTGGACAGTGCAAAAGTTATGTAGCAAAAATTAGAATATAATAAGAATAAATACAGTACACAACTGTACAGAATAGAATAGAATACTATATACAGTAGAATAAAATAGAATAAAATATACAATAGGATAAAAATAGAATACAAATTCTATATACAGCTGAGTAAAAATACAACGATGCAAGAAAAGAGAATTGCACTTAGTGTTATTGCACATGTGTGGATGTGTGTGTTTGATCAGTTGGAGTCTTTGTTGTACAGTCTGACAGCAGTGGGGAGGAAAGACCTGCGAAATCTCTCCGTCCCACACCGTGGGTGCCGCAGCCTGCCACTGAAGGCTTAAATGTAAAAAATAATAAAAGTAGAAATAACATGAAAAACGTGAGGCTGAATCCCTCTCACGGACCGTGAACGCCGTTTGTTAAACTGGTAAATTATCCAGCTGTAGTTCCGACTGCAAGCCAGCAGATGGCATTCAGGCTGAACTGCGTACAGATCGGCTAAAGAGCAACAGAAGAATAGAGGGCGGAAGTTGCGTCAGGTTGTTTTGGCGTGTTGTCCTGGCAGCAGCAGTTAGCTACGTTAGCACCTTAAGTTTCAGACAGAAAAATGTCAGCTGCCGAGGACGACACGGAACTGCGGGACCTGCTGATCCAGAATCTTGAGAACAGCGGAGCTCTGAACAAGCTGAAGGTGAAAGGTCACGTTTAACGTGAGACGCCCTGACGGCGGGATAGGCTATAGCTACTCGCAGCTAACAACTGCTAACCGGCTGCTCAGAGACTGTTTCAGGTTTATTTTATTTAACCTGAGAGGAGAGATGAAGTTCTGACTGAGTGTAGAGGTTCAGCAGCTGTGTGAGCTCTGTTGCTGCTGTTGTCGATCAAGCAGGATCTAACCTTTGAAACCGGTTTAAACATCCGCGAGAGTAGATGAGACATTTTATTACTAATAACGTGTAACTGCGGCTCAGCATAGAACCTCAAAGCTCACAGCTAGGAAGAAGAAACCTCACAGAACAAATAGAAATAGTTTTCCTTTTTTATTTCCTTTCACGCCCTGTTCTTGTCATGTGACTCGACAGCGTCAGGTGCTGAGAAAGACTTGCCTCCAAACCTGAAACCACTCTTATTGATATCTGATCAGTTTGTGACTGATATCTGATCAGTTTGTGACTTATATCTAAACTAAGCGCTGTGTGGATTGTGCAGGTCTAGTTTCGTGCGTGCTAACTTCAGCACAGTTGGAACCCGTCAGCCTAAAATCTGATCCAGGAACCAGGAAGATTCGCGCCGAGAGCTCATATAAAAAATAATGTGAAATACAGCAAATGAATGAAACGCTGTTAGTCCTGCAACACGCTGGTGACCCGTCCAGGTGTGTCCCGCCTCTGGGAGAGGCTCCACCCCCCACGACCCTGAATACGATGACTGGAAGAAAACTGATGAATGGAAATGAAATAATATTTAGGAAACCCTTTTAGTTTGAAATATCTGTCATGAATGACATGTATGAATTTACTGATAGGTTTCAATAACTACCTGTATTGATGACATGTTCCTGCAGGCGGAGATGAGAGCGGCGGTGTTCCTGGCAATGGAGGAGCAGGACAAACTGGAGGTGAGTGATTCACACAGAAGTTCCAAGCACAGTGTTGATCAGTCAGTGCTGTCCGTCATAGTCCAAGATCAGGACAATACCTCCCACTCACTCTGTGACATGCTGGCCAGTCACAACGAGAGCATGAGATTATACGTAATGTAGCACTGAACAACTCCTCCATCTAATACACAGCACACACTAAAATATCTGCACATAACAAGGGCAATCTTAACCAAATATATTTAATTTGTGTAACATACTGGAATATTTATAATAAGAGCTATTTTGCTATATTTTAACTTTAGTTTAGTCAGTTCCAGTTTTTAGTGTCTTGGAGCGACTATTACTACGTCATTAATAAAGTATTCAAATTCAGGAATACGTGAGACAGCAGGTTCATGGTGTATTTAGATTAAAATCTAAGTTTGTAGTCTGGAAAAGTGAACAATGAGGTGGGAGGAGTCAGGAAGTTGGGAGGGGTCAATGATGGTCTTGATGTGTGACTGACAGCTTTGACCTGCTCTGAGCTCTTGCTGATGTTTCTCCTCAGGATAAAAGTCCGCTGGTCAACGAGAGCCTGAAAAAATGTCTCAACACCAAAGACGGTGAGTTCCTCAACTTCCTCTTCCTGCCTGCAGCCAGTTTCACTGAGCAGCAACATTTCACAAGCAGGTTAGCAGTGATGAAGGTCATGCTGCTTCATGGCTGTTATTTTACAGTTTTACTAAAATTAGTCCAACAGAAAGACTCATCAGCGAGAGAGTTCATAAAGGTTTAAACAATTTCAAACATGCTCTAAAGAATCCCTCACTGATCCAGCAGCTTGCACTAAGAGTGAAACCGCCCGTGAGCACCATGGCGGAGCATCCGCAGGTTCACCATGCGTTTCTTTCTTATCCTGATGTCATTGATCATCAGACTG